AACGGTTTGCAAATTTTATCCCAACTCACCCAGTGAATTTTCTTCTTTCCATCCCCTCCACCCCATAAAAAATTCGACATCATGGAATTTAACCGGTGAGAAATAGTAGAAGGCATCTTAAAAATGGATAGGTAAAAATTAGGTAGGGAAGATAAAACCGAGTTAATAAGTACTAGCCTACCGGCCATAGATAGAGAATTAGCTTTCCAGCCTGCCAATTTCTTGCTGAAATTTTCAATGACCGGTTCCCAAAGCTTTGCCGAGTTCTTTTTCTCCCCTAAAGGTAGACCTAAGTAAACAGTCGGGAATGAATCAACAGAGCAGCCAATATCCCTAGCCCAAACATCAAGGATGTCACTCTCCACATTAATCCCATACAGCTTGCTTTTTGCTAAATTCAGTTGGAGCCCCGTCAATAAACCGAAAATCCTCAAAACTCTTCTAACATTCTTTATCTGAGTAATTGAATCTCGACAAAAAATAATTAAATCATCTGCAAACTGCAGGTGAGACAAAGTAAAAGAGTTTTGACTGTTTCCAAAAGAAAACCCCTGAAAAAGACCCAAGTCCACTGCTTTCGACAGCATCAAATGTAGTAATTCCCCAACCATGTTAAACAAAAGAGGAGAAAGGCTGCAACCTTGCCTCAAACCTTTAGCAATAGGGAACTCTTTAGTAGGAGAGCCATTCACTAGAACCAAGATAGAAGCCGTTGAAATGCACTGTTTGATCCAAGAACACCACCTCTCGCCGAATCCCATCTTTATCATTAACTTTTGCAGAATCTGCCACTCCACAGTGTCGTAGGCTCTGCTAAAATCCACTTTAAATACAACCCCTTTAAGTCCTTGCTTCATCCAAGAATCAATACCTTCATTAGCCAAACATGCACAATCTAACAATTGCCTTCCCGGAATAAAAGCAAACTGTGACAGACTAATAATATCATCGATACACGATATTAGTCTCTTGGAAAGAACTTTTCTGTCCTTATAAATGTCAATCACATGGTCTTTTCTGTCCTTACAAATGTCAATCAACTAAAATTTCAAGAAAAAATATGCAGTGCAGTATTGATTCATTGCTGGAGTGCACAGTCAAACACATGGTCTTTCTGCAAGGCATCACGAAGCTTGCTGATAAGCTCAGTAAATGTGCAGAATCAAAAGTAAGGCAGTGTACTGGTTAATGATTGTTTTGGTTCAGTAAATTAGAAACTGAGATCTCACTGATCTGATCGAGTAATGTGGTGATGAATTAAATGATCTCACTTAAGTTCTACCAGAATTTTTGGGGGGGCCTTGTACCTTTTAGCTTTGTAGGCATATATTATAGATTCTTGTTTGTCATGAAATGGAAACACAATTACTGTACACTAGCTGAAATCAAGTGTTGTTACATCTTGTTGATTTTGTAGATGCATCACAAGGTTCAAGCTGGGCAGTGGAACTGGGAAGCCATCTAAAAGTATGCTCAATAGTAGTCGAGAATATAAACAAAAATGGAGGTTCATAATATTGTTCCCGTTGATATGATGATTACTTGTTGCTTACTTATGATTTCATGGTGGGTTCACTGCTTGGTGTATGTTATTTTCTCATTGGCTATAGTTATTGTTTACTAAGTTTATGATTTCATTGGTAGATTCCCTGTTTACGGTATGTTAGTGTAGGATATTTTGTTCATTATTTCACCTGTGACAAACAGAAAAGGAAGGATAATCTCAAAATGACACAATGATAGTTTTTTATTTATTCTTGGTTTTAAAGTTATTTTAGTTGATCCATGCAGCTGTTGTGTGAGGAATGTAGTCATTTTCTCGAGATAGCGGAGGCCATCAGAAGCTAGGGCCTAACAATTTTAAAGGGGCTTATAGAAGCGCGTGGTGAGAAGACTTGGATATGTTTTGTGGTTGAGGTAGGATTTATGATATTTTAATCTTGGTCATCATGGGTTGTGTCGTTTTGTCTTTGCTGCTGTGTCTTCCATCGGTTATGTGCCTGCCCAAAACATACCCATTTGATGCTAATGGAACGTGTCAATGACTATTCCTGATATTTATGATATTAATACATTGAATGTATTGTAAGATATACGTCCAAAACTCCAGGCATGTTCAAACTGCATTATAAGTGCCCAAAGAATCAGTTCTTTAATTTTCTTTCAACTTTGTTTCCCATTTTATAATCTAATACCTGATTATGAAAACATTGCAGGGACAGAACAACAGAGTTATGCATAGAATGGACATCATATGGTCACTTGTGCAAATTATGCAATCGAAGGCTACAAGTTAGCTGCAATTGCTTGTCACCTCTTGGAAGTAGTAATATTGACTCCCACTGTAACATATTGTGAGTGGTTTGTGATTTTAGATTGGCTTATGGTTTTTGCTTCTTGTCTTTATCTTCCAATCCCCTAAAAGAATATATAAAGTAGGGGAAAAGAAGAGAGAACGTCCTTGAGAAACATTGTATGAAGCGTTTTTGCTTCTGTTATTCATAGTTTGTGGAATTGACATTTATCACTTTCTTTTATCTTTTGCTGCATATTTTCCTGCAGTTACTGCTTTAAACTTGGTTCACTAATTGATATATAGATTCAACATTCACCATTAAAGGGGCAACTGCACATGAGAAATAGAAGATTTGATATCATAGAATGTTATTAGCTAAATTACATACTACTTTATAATGGTGCTCCTTTAAACGATGATAACGTAGTATCATCCCACTGTAGATTTATTGCATTTTGAAGTGAGGAGGGCTTGAGTTTCCATCCAGACCTTCGGCCCTGAAATAGGCCAAGTGATATGAATTTTCCAGTATACAGGCGGGCGGATTACTTTCCGTCAGAAGCTCTCTTATTGGGGCATATGGTTTATGTTTGTTTGCTGTGCTTGGATAGAAAAAAGCATGCCACCGATACCCTCGGTACTTGTCCCGCTAGAAGTTCAGACGATGTCTTTTAGCTTGATCATGTGTTTTATGTATTCACTTGCAACTTCCCTGCGAAAGATTTTTGGACAATTTTTTCAGTTTGCATCTGTTGTACACACGCTCGGTGAAGAACTGAGAAACAGTACAATGAAAGAACAAGATGCCATTGAACATAGCATGAGAACTGCTTGTCGAGAAGACAAAAAAGAGAGGCAAGCTAGAGAGAGATCCGCGTTAGGCGTATCCTTGAAACGCACACAATCTTTGACATGTTACAAAGCACAACGTTAGTATGAGGAGATTAAACAAAACCAATTTGTCTGCTTGTCGAGGCCTTTACCCAAGACAGAAACAATTCCCTTCCACAGTAACTGGCCTGACTTATAAGTTCTCCAGGTAAAAGGAAATGGCATCTCCTTTTGTTGTTGGTCTAAAACTTCTTGCTGGTAATCATATGAACTATAACTAAGGATGTTTAATGAGTAAAGTAATTCGTGAGCTGTTCAAACATGATTCGGTCAATGCTCGACTCGAGTTAACTCGATATCAAGTTGTTCAAGATCTTAACGAGTCGAACACAGTTTAACTCGACTGGATGAATTTGTGAGCGGTTCGTTAATTATTTTTATATATTTTTAGTAGTTACCTTAAAAAAATTCCATTAAAAATATAAAGTATGAACAATAATTACTAGTTTGTTAATAGATAATAAGAATGATGATAAATTATTAATTAATAGTTACTATTAATTTATTAATTTACTAATTTGATGTATTTGTTGAGTTACTTCCGAATTTAAACTTTGAAATAAATTCATACACACTGATAAAATTTTTAGTTAAATGTGTTGATATATATTTATATTAAACTTTATATAATATTAGTAGATTTTACTCATAATTAAGAAGGCAAAGTAAAATTTATGATGAACTTAACAAACCACAATTAAAGCAATAATTATTTTTAACGAGCACAAATCAAACACTCCCTGAAGCATCTGTCTCTGACAAAATTCAGGAATAGGTTTAACCCTTAAAAGAAAGACGGCTTCTCCTCCAATGTCTTACCTTACACAAACTTCAACAGGAAAAAAGGAATGGCATCTTTCACAGCACAATTTCAACATGTATGAAATAAAAAAAAACCGTGCAAACATATTGTTAGATACAATTTTCATCTTATTAGAAAATTATTCTTCAAAATCCACTTATACTCCATTGTTGAACCTGGTATTCAACAAACAAAACACTGTTACCCATTTTGAATGAGCAATTCAGTTCCCTACAAAAACCCTAATTTTTTTTGGCCATCTTCAAATTGATTATGTGCTTAATGGAAATGAGGATAAATATTATTTCTCAACAGCCAAAGATATGGTATTGGTTTTCTAACAAAGAAACAATTGCTTTCATCTTCTTGTTGACATTACATTGCATCCTCCTTTGTTTCAATTTCATAATTGAATTAACAGATAATACCATGGAGTTTTATTTTCAGGGGGCAATGACTGAATATGGAAGGGAAGATTCCTCGGTTTGTTTACAAATGTTATTTCTTCAATGAACTATTGCATATTTTTGAATTGGGATCGTACAAACCAAGAATGATTCTCTTGTCATAGTATCTTAAAATTCCCTTCAACATGTACAGTTCATATCAATACAATTGATTGTTTAATCTTCTCGCATTCCTGTACCGGAAAAGATGGATCTGCAATTTCTAAAGATCTTATAACATTCACAGCAGCTTGCTCTTTATCCCCAAGATTAATTCAGAGCAAGCACTGTACAGTTCATGTAGAAGTAGCATTCCAGATTATTGGTTTCACAAAAGACACAACAAACAAAGACATCGTGATGATTAAAAAAATTGCTTTGAAGAGAATGATCAGATAGAGCTAATACTGCAGATGCCATCATCACGGCAATCAAACCAATAGGGAAACAATATCACAATCATCATTTCATTCTCCCACAACAAAAGGCAAAGCCAAGCATAACAATTCTGAAACGAAGTAAAATAGCAAAGGTTAATCTTTGTAGAAAATCAAAAAGATAAAGAGAATGATCAGATAGAGCTAATACATAAGGTCGGCCATCATTACGGCAATCAAACCAATAGGGAAAACTTCTGTTCCTCATTTCATTCTCAAGCAAAACCTTCAATAAAAATTAAAACATCAAACTGCTGAAGATTTCGAACCAGAAAACAGATACCGAAGCTAAAGAAAAACATAAACTTAAACATAAAAAACAACACAACCAAGGCGGAACCAAGAACTGGGCATGTCGAAACGGCTTGTTGGAACTTAAGTGTTTGAGCAACAAACCCCTGCAACAAAGAGTGACTTTATAGGAAGTGGCTAGCCGCAGCGAGTCGAAGCTTTAAAAACCCTAATGACTAATATACACTATTCGGAGTGGGGTTGGGGGGGGGGAAGTGTGTTGGACTTGGACTTAATCTTTAGGCCCAAACAGATTGAGCAGGCCGTAATCCCCTCACCTTTGGGAACTATTATACCCTTTTCATTTTTATGTCTTATTTAAAAAAATGTGTATTTAAAGTATATTATTTTTTAATCTAAATATTCATTATTATTTTTTATCAAAGTATATATAATTATAATTTTTATTTTATTTAAATATTTAAAAAAAAATTAAAGTAGGCACCTAAAGTATATTGTTTTTTCTATTTAGGTACTTAAATATTTTAGGTTCTTAAAGTATCATTCTTAGCATATTAATAACTCATATACGACACAGTAACTCGAACTCGAAACTTTTAAGGAAAATAAACACTTTCATATACCATATTGAGGTTGGTGAATGGGTTCATGAACCACAAAAACCTTGTTTCTTTCATCATGGATTATATGCTGCATGGATAATAATCAAAAGATGTCAAGCTGGGGAAGCTCTCCCATTATCATCAGGGATTAGAATAGTGGAGCCAGGCCAACACGTGCTAATTTAGTTATTACTTGATCATATAAGATCAGGTAATGATTATGATGAACACTGTAGGATTGGTGGAGTTAGTCTGACAATTAGCACTAACACTTGGCCTCGACCATGTTTTATTAATTGCAGTGTCACTATCTTCTGTTTCATTCATTATATATATATATGTTCTTTCTTTCTTTCTTTTATCTGACTCTGATGATCTGTACTTGAACAGCTATTATGGGGTAATCCACCATGTAATGTCCACTATTTACAATATATATTTCTCCTTTATCAGAACAGAGCAGATTCTATATATGATATTTATTTTGATCATTTAAGTATAAAAACATTATATGAACCAAGATTTTTTTTTTGGATCAAAAAGATTCTTCCATTAGAAAGAGGAGCAGATTAGAGAAGGATACGTAAGCCTTCAGGATGTTTAAGAGTCCACTCCATCGGGCATTCATGGAAACCAGTTATTTTTGCGATCCAATCAACAGCGCGGTTACAGTTCCGCTTAACAAAACCAAAAAAAATAACACAAGCGAAACTTCTTTGACAATGATCGGAGTTGGAATTGTTTGTCGCGGTCTAACTTCTAACATAAATATAAAAATAATTTCATATACAAAAGAAACAGTCCATACTCTCTTTTTTACTTTTCTTCTTTTTCAAACATTTTAATCATATTTTATATATAGAAGATTGAGTTCAGTTCTTTCTTTTTCTGTAATGCCACAGCTTTGTTTTCCCCTTGGTTGAGCTCACATTCAACTAATCATCATTCACCTCCAATTTAAATATTCTTCATTGAAATAATTCTTTTACCTTTTTTTTCCTCATATGCTAACTTAGATTAGCTTACATTTTCATTTTGCAAATTCGTAAATGGGATGTGATGAGCTTGCAGGTCTACAATGGTGGACAGGTTGTAAACCTGAAGATCAGCCCTGTGCTGCGGCTTTATCCTTTTTGTTTTAGTTTATTTTATACACAACAGAACTAATAACCCATAAAAAGGTACTATTTTTCTTGGTATCTACATTATTGTTTGGAGGGGGGGAAAAAGGGATCATCAGCATAAAAACAGAAACAGGATCAAACTCCAATGAGCAAAAAAACAAAAACAAAAGCAAGAAAAAGATGGTTCAGTTTATGATTAATTTCTCATCATTCTAAGGGCAATCGCTTGAAGCTCACCCAAATCATTATCACATGGTCTCTTACCATGGAAAGCAAAGTTTTCTATACCAAGTATTTCTTGTATATTAATGGTGTCACTGTCAGCGCTGTTGAGTTCGACTTCAACCGATTCAAGTGAGCTTTGTGGGGAAATCGGATAATTTGGAATGGAATGGAATAAACCAGAAAGGTTTTGTTCCCACTGACCTTCCATGGTATGTGAATTCATGGCATTTTGAGCTAGCTGAGCTTTGACTTGCAGTAACTGCGCTTGCAGGCATGCCACCTATATGAAACAAAGAGAGAGAACATCCAAGAAGATTGTAAAATCGTAGCATATATGTTTGATACTTTGATAAAAAAAAACTTTTAGAGATGCTCGAAATGGGAGATTCCTTAATTACTTGTTGTTGCAAGGAGAAAATGTGAGCAACACAACCGTAAACGGGATCTCGGATCCTTGCTTGAGCCTCGTAAGCAATGGAGACAACCGCCTCGCAACGATAATGAGCTGGGATATGCAACAATAATTTAGAAACATTACTAGCACCGAACACTTTGTGAATGGCTGCAAACCGTGCAGGGCCTTGTTCCGAACAGAAGTAAGGCGCAAAAATACAGTCCGAGGCACATTTTCTTCTCAGGAACTTGCATGCACCACAAGGGGAACCGCTGGTACTAGATGGTGCCATGACAGAGAACACAACAGAAAAGAAAAGAAAATAGAGTGTAGCTAGAGACCAGGAATAAGTGAAATATATATTTTGAAATTTGTCCAAACCACACGAATACACTAGGAATTGGTGCTAAAGGGAATAAATGGGTTTTGAGTGGAGGGGTAGATCCTTAAGGGGCGCAACAAAAGGAGTAAGTCTTATAACAAGTGTGAATGGGGGACATTGGTGGCCTTTGTGTAGGGTTCTAAGGAGACATTTAATAATGTTTAAGCAATATTGGTTTATTATTTTAATGGGTTACACCCAGTTTACAATACAATTTAGACTTGGTTTATGTTTATCTGACAATTTATTTCATACAAGTTTGATTTTTGGTGGTGATTTTAGAATTTTTTTAGTACAAAGTTTGTTTTTCTTTTCTTATTTTCCGCCGATGGCCGCACTTCGGAACTGCTGCCCTTTGTCGCTTTGTAGGCGCTGCTCTAACTGCACACGAACCAAGTCCAGTGCTATTCTGCCTAAAGTCCCATCTGTAAACTTTCTATTCATACTTAAGTTTATCGTAATATAAGACTTACTTTGGCAGATATTTGACTGAATTTAATTTATTTTCCATAACTTTTGATTGCCATAAAACCATATCTTTGCTGGATGAAAATCATGTTCACTTGCCAATATTGCATTCAATAACCATTACATATGAATAACAACCCATTGCAATATTTCAGATCAATTCACATGCTAACCAAAGGCATACTTAATGCTAGAATTCACAGATATGCAAATGTAATAAATAGATATCTGTATGTTTACATCAGCCATGATCTGTGAATATGGTATTATATCAATCAACCAAAAAGTCTAAATCCAGCCAAAACAGCTGCAACCAGATCAACAATGGTTTGGCACGTTGGCCCAAGAACAAGCATGGAGCTAACACAAATCAACATGCAAAGAAAAATGACCCCAAAGACTTGATGTCAGCCACGAAAAAAAAACCATAAATAAGATCATGGTTCTTCACTCCTTAACACAGGAAAATGGCGGTTTGCATAAGCAACAACAACAAAAAACAACAACATTCAACTTTCATAGTTCTGACTTCACTTTTCATCATGCTCGAGTTGAAAAGTTTATAGTAGAAAACATATGTTTTGGGTTGTTCCTTTGGTTAGAAGTTCTAAACAAAAGGGACATTAATAATAATTTTCCAACTTCATTTCTCGTCTTTCTCGTTCTTTTTTACAATGCAATCATTACCCGTAACAAACGATTCGTAACTTGCAGGAAAATGGTGACAGAGACACCCAGATAAGATGATTATAAGTTGTGGTTTAGTGTTTCAGCTCCTGTCTTTTCCCAGAGGCTCATGTTTTTACCATTTCTAATGCACTACAGGAGTTCGCATGAAGAGGAACTGCACACAAAAACAATTACTACCGTCATCACGAGAAAATAAAATACTTCAATAACAATCATACTAGAATTAAGTTAGAATTGTGAGTTACATGCCTCGAATGATTTTCCTGCTCTCTCGAATTCCAGCATGCTAAGAGCGACTTCACAGCTCTGTGAGACAATGGGCTCAGGATCCCTAGCAAACTCCTCAAGCAGCGCTACACTTTGATCATCTATAACATGGGTACAATGAGGACTTCAATTAGACTAATCCAAGAGGTCAAAACAGGAAAGACGCAAGATTCATAAGACCTAGTAGTCATCCAAGAAAAAGTGAAAGCGAGAGACTGATCGGATCTCATTGCTCAGCAACACTTATTGCCTATCCCTTATGAAAACAAAAAAGTTGGCTTAAGGAAAGTCTCACATTCAACCCTCACAAAAAAGCAGTTACGTGGGACCATTAGCATTACATAGCCTAACCTGCAATGGAGCCAAGAGCTTCAGCAGCTTCATGTCTAACCATTGGGTGTTCACCCGCATTCCTCAGTATATTGCTAAGTGCAACTGAAGCAGCTTTATTTTGCAATTGACCCAAGACATAAGCAACCTTATCACAGCCAGATGACAAACATAAAAATCCATCCACTTGCAATGGAAACAGATTAAGATTGCACAGAGACTAAGACAATTAATTAAAGGAATGCCATCAAACCTCATGCTTCAGCAAAGCACTTTTGGCTCCTAAAGAATCAATAATGGCAGAAACAGCTTCCTCTCCACCATGGTTTCGGAGAGCAAAGAGAGCTGAATACCTCTCATACATGCATCTTTCCTCATCCAATAGCACTTCCCTTAATATTAGACACCACCAGTAAATAGTCTAAACAAAAAACATGGTAAAGAAAGTTGCATTCATTACCAATAATGAGAAATACCTAAGTTTACAAACAGATGAATGAGATGGAGCTGCGGCAGCAGGGTCAACTGACAAAAAAGGTGACTTCTCTTTCATTGATGATTTATCATCACTACTGCCAGATTTTAACTCCTTGATTCGCTGGAGAGCCAATTCGCACGTTTCCCGGACTTCTGGAGCAGGATCTAGAACCAAACTATTCTTCAAAAGAGGAATGTTACTCTCTAAACCAATCGCACCAATTGCTTCTGCTGCCTGTGGCAGAATGACATAAGAAAATTTTAAGGAAAACAGCCAACACACCACAGAGATAAATCAAATACATAACAGTGGAACAACAGCTTCACGTGAACCAACCTCATGACGAACAATGGGATGCAAAGAGAGATCATTTAGAACAGCTTCTAAAGCAGGAATAGCTTCAGTATCTTGCATTTGACCCAATGCAAATGCCGCTTCATGAGCCAACAAATTTGATGAATCCCTTGTGGCTGCAATAACATATATTGCAACAAATATTAGACTGTTCACAATGGGAAAGAGAGCAAATTTTCACGGTTATTTCATTGATAAAGTTGCCATTTGCTCGTTTTTCTTTAGTGGAATTTTCCTAATATATAATCAATTGTTGCAGCTAAACTATTTAACCCAGATTAAGTGACACAAATCCCCATCTTTCCATGCATTTTCTACATTAGTTAGGCTTCAAAACAAATGATGCAAATGGAAATAGAAAAACAAAAGAGTATTCAAGAAAAATAAAGCCTTTAGTCCTCTATTTAGCCCTAATTATATGCTTAAAAATCATACGTATTCTCAGACAGTAATTAGAAAAGGGGCAAAGACGCATAGAAATTTGTTATGTAAAATTATGAAGCGCAGGGACCTTGAATGAGAGCATTGCGAGGGTCAGGGCCTTTGAGGTTGCGAAGGGAGAAGAGGGCTCGGAAGCGCTCGGATATTGGCTGGCTGGGGTCGAGCAACCGGTCGCACAGAAAGTTTTCCATGTTGTTGGGCAAAGACGATCCCGATGCTGATACGCCGTCGTCCAATGAACCCATGAGTCGGGGACGCAGATCAGTTGGCGGACCTTTGAGCAGTTGCTTGGAAACGACGCGCCGCGAGGTCTGGGGACTTGGATTCTTGGTTTAGTAGGAAAAAGGTTTTAGAGCTCGATATTTTCCTACTTCAACGTGTATGGGTCTAAAGTACAATTTATGTTTAATATAAAAATAAATATCTAAATTATATTTTAATTTTGGGTTTAAACTATTTTTCGATTAATTTAGTATATGACATTATAAATAATATTATTTTAAGTATTCTAATTGTAATGGTATTAAAAAATTTCAAGTGACATATGTTACATTCTGATAATTTAAATAATTTTATTTAAAATAAAAAATTTAAAAGTATAATTTCTTTTAAAATAAAATTTTTAAAAATTTAAAAAAAATCAAAACTTTAAAAACATTTATTTCAATATCTATACTCACTTCGTCCATCCTCGTTTGCCTATGTTTTTGTCAACTAAATCTCTATCCAATCGAATTTCTATTGACGACACAACTATCCAACAACATAATCACCCGTCACTAACCTCATACTAGTCGTTGCCACCAATATTAATACTAGATAAAGGGGAGACGGGAAGATAGGCGAGAAAGAAAAGGAGAGAGGGGGACTGGAGGACGGGGGAGGGGAAAGAGGGGATTAAATAAAATCTTTAAAATTATTAAAATACAACATTGTCATTTAATGAATTTTTTTAACTGCCATTAAAATCGGGATATTTAAAGTGATAATGTTTGTCACGAGATACATAGATTGATTGAAAATCAGTTTATACATCTGAATAGGACAACAATATAATTTAAACACTTATTTTTATATTAAGCATACAATTTATTAATATGAGGCTAGAAAAATATAATAAGTTATAATTAAAAAATTATTATTTGTTTAATTCTTAGAGTAATTAGATAATATTTTAAGTTAAAACTGAAAATATTATGTTATTTATAATAAATCACGTTAATTGCATAAAAAGTTTATGTAACATTCTTGATTATAAATGAAATTATTATCAATTATATAATTTTTTATAGTAGACATGACAATATTTTAGGTTAAAATCCGTCGTAATGTAACATTCTTGATTATAACTAAATTATTATCAATTATGTAACTTTTTACATTAGAAAAAATAACATTTGAAGTTAAATTTCATCATAAATTAATCTTATATTTATTTGTCACACAATAAAATAACCATTATCGATTGGTATTTTATTTACACGTAATAGAAAAAATACATCAGCCTCGTCATTAATTTTTTAATTATTATAATTGAAATAAAATTAAAATTTTAAATATAATATTAATAGATATTTTATCAAAAAATAATTAACAAAAATATGATCATAATTAGATGAGCAAATATATAGTGTATAAAAGAATTAGTAAGTGTAAACGTAAATTTACCTTAGAAGCGTTGGGCCTCTTTCGACCCATTTGTCTTGTTAGTTTACTTTAATCGCATACAATGGCTATAAATAAATGAAAGTATATATATATATATACGCAGTGTCAGTAATGTAAATGTAAATAATCAGATCAGCAAATTTCTCTTCTGCTACCATAACTGGGAAATTAAAAAATTCCAGTCCATCTTCCTTTTAAAGCGGAGAAAAAGGGCTTTGATTCTCCCATTTTGCAGAACCATGAATCCTAGACGGTCAGTCGAATTTTTATCAATCAATGGTTTGGTTGCGTTAAATTGCTTGCTCAGATCTGTTTCTGATTTATTTTCATCTGATCAGTTCCTTTTCCCCCCCCCGAAAGCCTTGCTTATTGATTCTTTGCTTTTGATTTTTCAATTAATCTGATATTTCACATGATTTTATCAACATTTTATTGCGTTTGAGAAAGTGCTAGTGTCTTGTTTATGTTTATCAACTCTCAAGGCTTGTGGTCGAAGCAGGTATTGCCATTATAGCTACGTTCATATATCAGATTTTTCAATCGATCTTTCTAAATTTGAGCTTCCTATCTATTTATATAACTAAAACGATAACGCTTCTCTTTGATTGTTAGTTTTCATATGAGTTTGATTTATGGATTCTATGCTTCATATGAAGGAAGTTACTGATATGTTGTGTTCTTATTCTGGCTGTCATTATTAGTAATAAGATCTCTGCTTTGGTTACAGGGACATGCGTAACAACAGAGTTGCACTTTTTGACGGCATCGAGGAGGGTAGCATAAGGGCCTCATCTTCTTACTCACACGAAATCGATGAGCATGAAAATGAAAGAGCAATGGAAGGATTGCAAGATAGAGTGAATCTGCTGAAGAGAGTAAGTCTTGTCCATCTTATGCCCTTACTAATTCAATTGGTTGCATTGATTGCATATATAGGTGGTTAATGAATTAAGAGTGTTTTAGCCTTTTATATTTGGTTTGGGATCTTAGAATCTTTTTTTTAGCGGTGATGTTCCTTTTATATTCTTTAGTTCCTATTTGACAAAGCTTTGGGGGGAAGGAATCCTAAAAAACTTGTTTTAAAGAGCATTAAAGGTGATATACTCTTGTGAGTATGGTAGATCGTTCAGAGAAATCTATGTTTTATTTGTTTAGGATTAAAATTGGACGTAGTTGGGGCTTTTTTATATATATCTCGTTATTTTGGACCCTATTCACCTCTTTTCTTTCCTTTTTCTTCTAGTCAATTGAGAAATAAATATGATTGATTGCCCATCTTTTTAATATAATCTACTAAGTGATAACACATTCAGAATATAATCGTATAGGTCCTATTTTTTATTTTTATTTTATAAACACAAATGTTATGCAAGCATGCTCTAATAAATGACACTTCAATAGCTGTCAGGTGATATACATGAGGAGGTGGATAGTCACAATCGCATGCTGGATCGGATGGTAAGTATGCAGTAGCAATAGAACTGTCTTTTGCTGGATGTTATTGGTTTCATTTCCCCTGATGTTAGTTTATGGCCCATGGTTTGTGTGTAGGGAAATGATATGGATGCATCCAGGGGAATACTCTCAGGAACCATGGACAAGTTTAAGATGGTATGTGAACTAAATGAACTTTTGCTCTGTGTGATTTTTGCGCAACTAAGTTTGCTTGCAGCTTCCATTTCTTCCCGATATGAGTACGATGTGTGTTGATACTTAGTACGTCAACTGTTTCATGCCATAGCAATGAATTTGATCTGCCTCTTAGGTATTCGAGACCAAATCAAGCAGAAGAATGTTTACACTGGTGGCATCTTTTGTGGTTATTTTCCTTGTCGTATACTATCTTACTAAGTAACCGATCTATGATGTTTTTGCTGATAACTTTATGTGACAATTTGAAAGACCCTCTTTATACATGGTTATTGTAAACAATGTTATTCCAAACATGTAAAATTTTTAGGCCTTAGCATCGTACAACATAAACAATTTGCATATATCTTCTTGTACTCCTATAATTGCCTTAAGATTCTAATCCCGACTGTTTGTAACTGTCTTCTAAGTTCCAAACTCCTACTTGGAACTGAGCAATTGGCTACTAAAAGTTAACCGTCGTTAGATGTTTTAGTTACAATGTTTAGTACAATTTGTAGTGTGTTCCATTCGAATTTTCATGTTATAGGTTGGAAAGGCATTATCACTCTCACCTTTCAAGCAATCGGTTTCTGTTGACCCAGAATTACATAATGCAAATAATAACGTGTCAGGATCAGGGGAGCTTCCTAGAAGTTTCTATCTTCTAAGTACGTGTTAATATGTTATAGCACGTAAACTTACCCAAAAACGTCTACATTTTCTGGATGCTTCAATTGTTTAGTGTCGAGCCATTGACCTTTACCATATAAAAGATCAATAAGCTTAAAGTGTTTTTGCAACTTCTTACATCATATGCTTCAACAGTATATGCACTGATGATATAAAGTTGTCCTTAGAAATGAGAATGACTAGCGGATGTCAACAGGGACGGAGATAGAAATTTATGTCAGGAATGCGAATTTAAAATGTTTTATTAAAAGTTTTAAGGGTGTGAAATTATATAATCAATAGAAAATGTAAAAAAAAAACTTAAAATATAAGAGAATTTGAATTTTTTAGAGGATTTGACCGTACTCCCAACACCTCCTCAGTCTATCCCTTGTTGTTGGCTCATGGCGTTGTTCTTTATCACGTAGCCTTCAGCCTTCAACAATGTGAATATCATATCATATATCATGGTGTCTGCAAGTTCTTATTCAAAACGCAGACAGATGCAGTCATCCAATGAACCATTGAAACGCCCCGTTCCCTTTATTTTTCCTGTAGGAATCTGTTTTTTTTTACAAACAGAACAAATTAACCAGACATATCATCATACGTACTGATCACAAGCTGACAAAGACATGGTGATTTTTGTTGGGTACCAGCTTCACTTTTATGACGTGAAAGCTGTACCGTCTAAAAGAACTTGTCTAGGAATAATATTTGTTATGAATTCAAAGCCTTAGTTCACGACAATATAGGAGGAAAATGCCGAGGCAGCCCCAACAAGACATCTTTGCTTTACAATCTGCTTTATTCGCCGGATATGATTTACTAACCCCACTTAAAATTTGATTATTGTTTCTGATTTTTGAAAACGATATTATTAAAAGTAACATCCATAAACCTTAAATACATACCATAAAATGAACTTGAAGTCTTCATAGATGTATCTATGGCTCACGGCGAAAACATACAAAATGTAACATCCATAAGATGATTATATATATATATATATATATATATATATATATATACATATACGAACATGTATATATAGTATAATATACAGAAAGAGATTTAGAAAATGAAAGGCATTTTCCATAACCTCGGTTTTAATTCATTGAAGCCAGAAACAAGCTGAATATATATGGATACATCCAAAGAAAATCTAATGCATGAACAAGGGATCATAATCTAATGAAAACTAAGAATCCTACGTAACACTGAAATAATCTCACTTAACCATATCAGTTGTAAACTGAGACTACTTGTATAGTAATTACTTATGTAGTGTATACTTTTGGTTTTTCTTTTCTTTTTCATTTGATTTCTCCATTGATTGCATCGCAGTAGTCTCACAGCCCATATTATACAACAAATACTCGAAGCTCAACTTCATTAAAACATGAAAAAATAACAAATGTTCAGCAATTACTATACAAGTTTAGATCAAGAAAACAAGACTATGAAAGAAAAGAAGGAAAAAGAAATAAAAGAACATCTTAATTCATCTTGCCTTCCCTTGCTCTTTGAAGTATGATTTTACCAGCTATTACTACTTCATGGTAATCTACAAACAACTGTACATATATAGAGAAATCCTTCCAAATTATATGTATATATACAATAATACTATGGATCATGACCTAATCGCAGCTCCAAGTCTAATTCATATTCTTGACAACTCCCACATGTCTTGTTGTTTTCATGATCATAGACGAGGGATGGAGCAAATCCCAAGCTAAGAGTACTCCTAGGCCAATGATTCATATGCTGTGAATTGTCTACAAACAACTCATCACTGTTTTGGGGTGTAGATCCCCAACCCGAATTTGGGGGAAAAGTTCGATAACTTACAGGTAATATCTCATGTAGAGCCATGGAGCTTTGGATAGGTTGATAGGGTTTAGTGTTTAAGGTTACGTTGTAGTTGTCATCATAAACAGCAATTTTGTCGGCAACTCTAGGAAGAGAACTAGGCCTGCTGCTCTTGGCTCTCTCCTTCCTATGGATATTCATGTGCCCTCCTAAAGCTTGTGCCGTGGTGAACCCTCTCTTGCAAAACACGCACTCGTAGGATCGGCCGGTGCCGATATCGTCGGTGTCTTCGAGCTGGTTGGATTCCATGGGAAGTGTTAACTTAGACTTCACAAAATCTAATCAAAGAGATTATTGGCTTGGTTGGAGATTATGGTGCGGTGGAAGAGGGACATGGGGTGATATAGAGAGGAAAATACATGTAGCAAAAACAAGAGACAAATGAGAAACATAGCCATTGGGTAATAGCAATTAGCTGTCCGAAAATGTTCAGAAAAGTCTTAGATGTTTGCTGGGCGAGCTTTTCTGTTAGCCGGCTATGGTGGTTATTCCATTTCCACCTTTGGCAAACTTTGGTTTAATATTTTAGCAATTTTTTCCTACTATGTCTCCCAATATGAATTTCTATTTTGTTCTTTTCGTGAAATTTTCACCTAATTTAATTAAAATTAATTATTTTCTAATAAAAAATTACTTCCGATTAACTTGTAGATTAAAAAGTATTTAATACTTAGAGTTAATTGCACAGAAGCTCCCCGAACCATAATTATCATTCTAAATCAATCCTTAACCTTTAACATATTATACTTTAATCCTCAAACTATAATTATCATTACATTTTGATCATTTTGTTAACGTGTCTTAAAATTAAACTTGTGACCTAAAAAAAATTAAACTTTACTTTTGTGGGTCGTTGAAATTTTTTAAAATGTTATAGGTTCAATTTTGAAGATCTTCAAAAACATATTAAAATATTATAACCAACAAAGTTAAGACACGTTAATGGAATAATTAAAATAGATTTATATTGATAGTTTGAGGATTGATATGTAATTTTTTTAAAGTTAGGGACCAATATAATTTCAAGATTGATAAATAACGTTTACAAGTTTAGAGATTAATTCTAAATTAAAGTCATAATTTAGAGATGCCATGCGTGATCATATCTAATATGTATCAATATGAATTAATTAATTCATACATACTTGATTAGAAAATTAATACATGGTAAACCTATTCACGTTGAACTACTAATCTTAATATTTGCGAGTCAAATACGTTAACCCTAGGGAACTTTCAGGAATTAACGACATTTTCAAAGTTAAAAAATGCAACTTCGATTAATTAAGCACGTATTGTGTACATATAATACATTATTATTAGTTGAACTATTAATAATTCAATTTAAACTTTTAAAATAAATTCAAAATTGTACACTTTTATTTGAGACTGTTGCTTTAAATTTGTGACTTCGTGCTTGGAATGTAGATGAGAGAAATGTAGCGTAGGAACCGTGATGGATCCAGAGGGGCAGGTAGAGGCGGTCGCTCTCTCTTAAAAATTTTAAATTCTTATTTAATTTAGATATTTTTTATATTTTATGTTAAAATTTTTTTTTCCTTTAAAATTTTTATTTTTACATCAACAACAAAATTAATGGTCAAATGACTCAACCAATGAAATTTGTTAGTTCAAGGACTCAATTGAATAAATAAAATATTATTATTTTTATTAAAAAAAAGTTAGGAGCGTTTCTTATACCTTTAAACCTAAATAAATCGATCCAAGACTATCTATATTCCAAGCTGTAGTTATCTGTATGGAATTGAGCAGCCTAAATTAGTAAAGAAATAAAAGAACTAGGAGTGTTCAAATAGGAATGCACATTTTCACCAACAAAGGTTGGCCTGAGTGGAAGAGCTTTGGTCGCTTAAACAAGTGGTCTCTAGTTCGAACTCTTGTGGATGCAGTAAACTTTCTTGGGAGAGGTCCCCATCTTAATGCCCGACAATACCTCGGAAGATTAGTCCCAAACGAAACCTGGAGATACCTCGAGATACTAAAAAAAAATAGGAATGCACATTTTCATTTTCTATCTTTGGATAATAATTTAATATATCGGCAGGCCGACAATTTTAAATACAGGAGTAGGCTGATATGTGGTCGTCAGGGGCAGGTGTTTTGTTTATAATTAAAATGGCGTCTACCACCTTTCTTTTTAATGACAAGCCATATGTCATTATCCATAAGCAATGTCATCTCTTTTAATGGATCTAAGTGATAAATAATAGAGATAATTAAGATAAACGAATACAATGGGACATTGACTTGGAAAAATATCATGTTTTGAGCTTTCGTTATGATCTTAATATTTATTCGTGGTTTTAACCAGAATAAAAGTTTTACGTATAATATTAGATATTTTGTTAAAATATAAGAATTATATATTTTATCAAAATATATGTACTAACTGTAACACCCACAAATCAATACGAGTGACCCGGAGTTCTACTGACATTACTTGCGGAGTATGGTGTATGTGTTTAGGAGGCATGTGTTTAGGAGGCATGTAGGTGGTTTTTTTTTATATCCGAGTTTGAAAAGTCTATGGTTTTAATTATATTTGTAGAATATGAATGATTTTCTAAACTTGTATTTTAAGTATAATTTGGTTTATGGTTTTACACGTTTCAATTGAAATTTTAAAATTTTGCGAGATTATTACTGTGTGTCGCTCCAGTGGCTCTAATATGACACCTCAGATCGGATCGGGTCACCCGTATCGGTATGTGGGTGTACACCGACTTTGTTAGTATACTTTAATTTATGATAGATCATGGATTAGGTAAATTTAAAGGAAATTTTATTGGCACAAACTACAAAACAAGGTAAATATCAATCTTGAATAACCTGGAACCTTGAATATATGGCCGATAGATGTCGGTTCTGTATTGGAAGCCCGTCAAACAAGTGGGCTAGAATTATTGGATGGACCTGTCAGTCCATGCCAGCTCCATTTGCATAAATCAGCCATAGTTCTTCTCTTTCAGATACTTCAAAAATAAAGTTATTTATGGTTATTTTTTAAAATGATTTTAAAAGTGTCGTGAAAATATTTTTAAAATATATAATTCAAAATTTAATTGTTTAAATTTAATGTTAAAAAATATTTTTTTAAAAATAAAATATGTATGTTAGGCGATAACATGACATTAGGTGAGCAAATGTTTAAGGCTTAATATTTGAGTTCATAACTATTATTAGACTATCATATGTTAGAACATTAGATTAGAAAATGTTTAAGGCTTAGTATTTGAGCTATTCTGATTTGAGCTTAGATTGTGAAGTGTCAAGGGCCATGAATTAAAGCAAAAGTGGAAAAGGGAGGAAGGGAGGGACTTGACTTTGCGAACAAGAAGGAATAGAGAGAAGAGAAGAGACGAGACGAGACGAGCTGGCAGCCTTAAGATGGTGACGTGCGCCGACTAGCTTTTCCTTTTTATCCATATATTCATGCCCACTCATCTTTTCACTAAAACATGCACTTGTTCACCTCCTGTTCTCCGGTCCTTGACCCCCTCTAAACGCCTGTTCTTTTAACCTTATTCTTGTTTATTTTTCACCTTTGGGGAATTCACCTCATTTTGACCCTTTTTTTATCCTTGAAAAACCTGCCTTTTCCCTGTCCCCCCTCCCATCAGTCCACTCTTTTAAATTGCTCCGACACTGTGTGACGGTGGGCAGCAGAGTTCTTCGAGTGTTGGTTTTTTGTTTGGTTTTGGTCGTGGTTTGCTCGTATGGCAAAATTAGACTGGGTTTCTTGTTAAATAAACCCCATCATGTTCCCCTTACATCTTGTGGGGAACATGCAAGAGTTTCAGATGTTGGGAAACGCAACACATTGTTCGCACACACCTAAATGCCTCTTTACTTGGAAATCACTCGCCATTTGCCACTGGACTACATTTAATGCCCACTGCCTGCCTGCTATTACTTCAAACAATCATCATTCATGCCAAACTAATGCTCTATCATATTCCATTATCAAATAGGACACATGTCGTATTACAGTAATATAAGATAAACTATGTATTTAGTTGTTCAATTATTTTACTGTTTTGATTACTTAATTAAATTTTTTAATTCATATCTAATATTATATTTTGGTTTCGTTTTGGTTATCCGTCTTTAAAAAATTGACAATGATACTAACATGTCACTATAAATTAATGATATATCATCATTGAAAAATTTTGAAAACTTATCACGTTAATAATTATGTTTGTTTTTTAATAACATATAACCAAAATGACGAGGGGATAATTGAATGATAAAAAAGAGAAACCGTGCGAATAATTGGTGACTAAACACATAGTTTACTCTTTTTTATATATAAAAATGTGCATGACATATTAGCATAATAGACCGAGGGAGGGGCTAATGGGGATAATCGTTCCTTGAAAATTTAAAATTATCATATATTTTAGATTTTTTGTATGTTTTATCTATTAAAAATCTATTTTTATCTCTTGAAATATTATAAATTTATCCCTTCCTAAAATTTTAAAAATTTGTATCTCTTAATATAAAATCTTTAATACATCTTATGGTTGCTGAGAGTATTGTACGTACATTCTCCTCCGGATGGCTTACTATCAAACAGTATACAAGTAAAGGGCTACAGTTGGACGCATGCTTAGGAGATCTTGATGGGAATACTCATCTTTTTTGTTCCAAAGTTCAATGAGTATAGATTAAATTAATGGAAGCCTTTAAAGAATAATGACGTACTCTATCTCTGATTTCGCATCGTAAAGAATGCAAATAGAACATTCATTAAAGAAACATCCCATCTCATCTGTCATATACCAAACAAACAACTTCACCTTCCATTATTATTTCATTTAATTAACCATACTGAACTGCGTACCCTGTTGTGGTGATCCTGGTTTTGACAGTTAACGAGAACAAAATATTTCGGGGCAAAGCCCATGCAAAACCATATGTCTGATACATTAAACGAAAAAAAGTAAGGCAGTCTTAATATCAGCATTGCTTAATATAATAACAGCTTTCATCATGGATCATGGTTGAGAAGGCTATGGCGGAAAGCAAAAAGAAACTCTGCAATGTAGAGATAAAAAGGAAGAAGGAACAGAAAATAAGTAAATGCAACCTAGATGATGAGATAAGATACATAAATTTGGAAGGCACCATTGCACTTAAAGATGGCAGAGTCGAAGCTCCAGATCTAAAACCTCGTTTGAATCTTCAAGCTCATAGTTTTGAGCGTGCATCTTCAAATTTGCCGAATCTCCGAGTTGAGAGTTCAAGGGCTTTCTTCGGTTTTCCCCATAGGTTAGAAGTGAAGATGGAGTGGTAGTGTTGTAGAGTGGGGAAAGCAAGGAATGATGGGGATAGAGTGAGATGTTAGCTGAATGAGAGGATATTAAATTAGATGACGATGAACTAATAGGGTTAGGGTTAGGGTTAGGGTCCTTGGA